AACCTAATCTATTCTGCTTTCAGCAGAAGGCTGAACATAATATGTTCACCTTCAAGCTAATCATCAAGTCACTAATAATGCATATGGATATAGTTAAATCACATCCAGCGTTTGCTTTTAATTTGAAGGCATGTAAATTTACAGGTGATCCTGAATCCCTCCTAAAGGGTCAGAAGTGAAGGCAACTGGAAAAAGCATTGGCAGCTCTCTTTCTCAAGTAACAGTTCTAGAACAGGACACTATAAAACTTGATAGAGCTAGTAGAGTAAACACAAGAGAAACCCTGTCCTTAAGGCTTTTTAACTCTAAAGTTCTAGCAGATGTCAAAGTCACATCTCTCAAGAAAGAACTAAAGGAACTGGCACTGTGGTGTGGTGGCTGAGGCTGCAGCCTGCAGTGCTGGCATTCCACGTGGGTGCTAGTTTGAGACCCAGCTGCTCCACTTCTGATCCAGCTCTCTACTATGGCCTGGGAGGGCAAGGGCAGTAGAGGACGGCTCAAGTGCTTGGGCCCCTGCGCCCACATGGGAGACTGGGAAGAGGCTCCTGGCTCTGGATCTGCCCAGCTGTAGTCGTTGCAGCTATTTGGGGGGTGAACCGGCAGATGGAAGACCTCTCTCTCTGCCTCTGCCTCTCTATAACTCTCCTTTCAAATGGATAAGTGGATCTTTAAAGAGAGAGAGAGAGAGAGAGAGAGAGAGAGAAAGATGATGCATCACACTGGTCAGTTAGGAGGAGCCAGTCACCCTCTCAGGCTCACCATCAATGTTTCACCCCCAAGTCCCCAAGGATTTAAAAGGTTCTGAGTGATACAGTGAAGTGAATGCCTACAGCCCAGGGACAGGGCAGCGAGAAGGGTATCTCTGGCCAATTCTGCTCCTTGGCTGACTTCTTACCTGCTTCATGATAACTGTCCAAGGAATTCACTAACTTCAAGGAAATTTGCATATATAAAATGGTAATAAAATATATCGTTACCATTTCATAGTTTATTCTGATACTCTGAAGCAAAATGGTGGCCAAAAAGATTTCCAAAAAAGTATATCTTGGAAGCAGGACAGCATGGGGAGTAGGCAAGAGGTCAGGAAGCAGCAAACACTCAGGTAAGGAGCCCAGGAGCTAGACTGGAAGTCAGGGCAGCCTCTTCCCAGTGTTGTCTGTTGGGATCACGGTTGGTGGCCACGACTAACTCACTAGAGTCCTTGCCACTGAAGGTTGCAGAATACAGGTAAAGAGCTGTGGCTTGGGAGCAGACATTTAGTCCAGTGGTAAAGATGCCTACATCTCCAGGCTGGCACCGTGGCTCAATAGGCTAATCCTCCGCCTTGCAGCGCCGGCACACCAGGTTCTAGTCCCGGTCGGGGCGCTGGATTCTGTCCCGGTTGCCCCTCTTCCAGGCCAGCTCTCTGCTGTGGCCAGGGAGTGCAGTGGAGGATGGCCCAGGTGCTTGGGCCCTGCACCCCATGGGAGACCAGGATAAGTACCTGGCTCCTACCATCGGATCAGCGCGGTGCGCCTGCCGCAGCATGCCAGCCACGGCGGCCATTGGAGGGTGAACCAACAGCAAAAGGAAGACCTTTCTCTGTCTCTCTCTCACTGTCCACTCTGCCTGTCAAAAAAAAAAAAAAAAAAAAAAAAAAAAAAAAGCCTACATCTCACACTGCAGTGCCGGGGTTCAATGTCTGGCTCTAGGGCTGAATCCAGCTTCCTGCCAGTGCAGAACCAGGGAGGCAGCTGTGATAGCTCAAGTAACTGGCACACATGGCAAACCTGGATTGTGTTCCCAGCTCGTGGCTCTGGCCCCACTCCAGTCCCAATGTTGAAGGCACATGGGAGTGCTGACCCTGCTTCCTTCCTCTCTGCATCTCAAATAAATAAAAAATAATAATTAAAAAAAGAAGAAGTGGCATCACTTGGCCCACAGCAAAGCAAAGGCAGGGACCAGGCTCAGTGCAGACATCACCTAAGAGTGAGAACCTTCGCATCTCCCTAGTGAAGCCACAGAGAACAACTGTCCTGCCTCGCCGATGAAGCCACAGAGGTTCTGCTGCCTTTCCAACAACTCATGTTCAAGAGAAAATCCTTGAAGGCTGTGGGATAGCCATTGTTAGGACTTATAATGCAGTATGGTTGCCAGATCACAATAACCAGGACAAAAAACAGTCCTGGGGAAGAGGCTGAATTAAAGAAGTGAAACGATTGGGAGAAGTCTGAGTAGAAGACAGCTAAACAACGAAGTGTGGGTGAACAAAGAGCTCCTGGGACTCAGCAGGATTTTCTGGTCAAAGATTTATACTCTGAAGTTCTCTGCAAACTTGACAGGAGATGACTGCAACAACAGAGCATCTGAAGGGGAGATTCACACGCCAGTTCAACAAGACAGTCTCAAACACGGTAAACCAAAAGAGAAAGGGATTGGGAGAAAAGGCTCAGGTCTTCCTAGCTGACTACTGACCACCGACACATAGCGCAGTATCTCCCAGAGATGTAAACACTCTAGTCCAGGAACTCGGTCCCAGTGGAATAAGGAAAGACAGAAGAGGGCGTTCTGCTCTGAGAACAAGCCCCTCCAGCCCTGTCCCCCTTGCACCAAAGTGGTGGCTGCCCACTTTGACAGTCCTACACCTGTTTTCTCCACAAAAGCACTGTCTTTTGCAAACTGTAGTAGAGTCCTGTCAGTTTTTCAAGGTCTCTCCATGGTTACCCTGCTCAGCAGCCTCAGTTGGCCTAGAGGAGGTCTCCCCTGCCCATACTACTCCAGTACACAATTTTGACCTTTGAAGGATTTCCCTGGACAGAGGACTGTAGTATGTCTTGGGACAGACTCAACTTGACAGACTACTCTGATCGTCATATATAGCGGGGCCATTTGTACTTCTGTGATCCTATGGCTCCCTAAATGTAAAATAAAAATCACCAGGAAACAGGATCCAGCTGAAGGAGGCAAAGCATGGCTCAAAACAGGGAGTTGGCATGAATTTTATCCAAGCGTCCTTCTTCAGGACTTATTCCCCACCAGTTAGCTGGATGCCTGACTCATGGAGCATGCCTTATGCTTTACTGACCCTGCCCAGCCAGAAGCCATGGGAGCTCTAGGGGCTACTCCTAGAGCAGAGCCTCTGTGCAATTCTTAACCTCCTTGTTGGAGCTCAGTGGGGCTGACCAAGTGTTGCATAAGTCTGCTTGACACGGGGCCAGAAGCGTGGCGTGGGCAGGCAGACAGGAGAACCAGTGGGAGGAAATGAGGCGAGTGTCAGAGCCAAGCACATACCTCTCACAAGAAACACGTGCTTCCTCCAATGGCATCTCTGTCAACTGTTTCCCTTTGTGACTTGCATTTTCTTTAAGGACATTCGCATCTGGTCCGTGGCTTTTTTCCTGTGAAGCTGCACTTGCTTTTCTAAAGGGTTTTCTTCCTCTTACTGGTTTTTAGAAGTTCTTTATATTTGTCATTAATCATCAGTCTTGTACAGCCAAAACTATTTTATTATCCTTTAATTATGTGTATCATCTTTTTCCCCCCCAAAATAGAATTTTGTTCTTTTTATATTGCCAAACTTTTGGGTACTTTTCTTTATAGCTTCTGGGGTTTATGTCTTGGCTATTCCCCATAGCACTGTTATTAAAGGATCGTCTGTTCCTCTCATTTAACAAGGCAGGTGGCTCACTAAATTACAGCACTGTCAGTGCTAGACCATGAGTCTCTCTTAACTGCTTCTCCAAGGACTTTAGTACCAATCATATCGTTTCTCTAACATACCAGCAGTTTTATGACAACAAATTTTCTATAAAAAAATAGAAATTTGGGGGCCTGAGCCATGGCGCAGTAGGTTAATCCTCTGCATGCGATACCAGCATCCCATATGGATGCCAGTTCTAGTCCTGGCTGCTCCACTTTCAATCCAGCTCTCTGCTATGGCTGGGAAAGCAGTAGAAGATGGCCCAAGTCCTTGGGCCCCTGCACCCACGTGGGAGACTGGAAGAAGCACCTGGTTCCTGGCTTTGGACGGATCGGCGCAGTTCCAGCCGTTGCAGCCATTTGGGGAGTGAACCAACGGAAGGAAGACCTTTCTTTCTGTCTCTCCCTCTCACTATCTGTAACTCTACCTGTCAAATAAAATAAATAAAATCTTCAAAAAAAATAATAGAAATTTGGCTTCTCCATGGATAGGGAATCTGAAGAAAGCACACTGAAGTGCTAACAGGGAGCCTGGACCTCCAAATCAAAAAGGTTTTCAGAAAGATACTTTGGAGCAGGTCTTTGATTACATAGAGATTAAATATTCTTTTTCTTTTATTATTTATTTGAAAGGCAGAGAGAGAGAAAGAGCGAGCGAGCTTCCATTTTTTGGTTCACTCCCCAAAAGTCTGCCATGGCTGGGAATGGGCTAGATTGAAGCTGGGAGCCGGGGACTCAATCCAGGTCTCCCATGCGGGTGTCAGGGACTCAACTACTTCAGCCATCACCTGCTGCCTCCCAGCATCTACACAAGCAGGAAGGCTGGAGTTAGGAGCCGAAGCCAAGGGTCAAACCCAGGTACTCTGCCGTGGGATGCGGACATCCTAATTAGCAGCTTAACTGCTGGCCAAACACCCACCCAGATTTAATACTTTTAACCAGAAATACCACATTCTATCATTCCAAAGTAGGGGGAGAGTCCCAGGCATGTGTACCTGGTTTGAGGTTTACAGAGACACACTAACCTGGTTTGTTTTTCAGAAAGGCTAAAAGGCAAACCCTAAGGCAAAAACATATCCTAACTGTAATCAACTTTGATAGTTGATAACGCAATAAGGTATTTTTAACTGAGTAAGTAAAACCTGTATGACTCAGAAAATTACCAGTCTGTAAAATGGGACCAATACTTAGATAAAATGAAGATAGGACATTCTAAAAGCATGAGAAACTGTATAACACACAAACAACAAAGCCATAAGAGTACTGTCACTTTTCACAGTAACTCAGTCAAATCACTGGAATGGGGTTTAAGCACTTGAGTCAACAGGTGGATTCCCGGTCACTGAAAATCACTGAAACACCAAGGCCCAGCCACACAATTCGGCCTCCCTCAGGAGGTCTTACCAGGCTTCCATCTGTCAGGGTGCAACCGGAGAAGCGTTTTGCAAGAAATCCTTCAAAGTTAGTTGTTCTCTGAATGGCAAAAAGAAGCAATTTCACTTCAATTTCCTTGGCTCTGGTACGCATAATCTTGGCAAGTTCTGTCCTTCAGAACAGAGATAAGAATGTTGTCAAACAAAGCAATCATTCATTCAAGATAAGACAAATAAATACCTTTAGCTTGCATTTAAAAAAGTATATGTGATCATTTCAAACCCTGAAGTCTACAACTAACTTGGTCTAAATCCCCTTAAACATTCCAAGACATTCTGTTGATGCCTGAAATCATAGATAGTTGTTTCAGAAATCAACAAATCATACACACACACACACACACACTATACTTTCTCCTGTACTTATATATTTATGATAAAGTTCAATTTATAAAATAGTCACATTAAGAGGGTAAGAACAATAGCAAATAAAATTGAATAATATAATAAGACACTAATAAAATTATTTAAAGCTTATGAATTGTCCATTTCTGGAATTTTCCACCTAGTATTTTTGGGCCGCATTTGATTGTGGATAACTGAAACAATGGAAACCAAAATTGTGGCTAAAGGTGAATTAATAAATATATTCTAAAAAATAAATTTTAAAGTGAAATTATCAGCCAGTAAAAAAAAATCAAGGATTATGGATGCTAATTTGTTACTAATATGTAAACTGGTTACTACTATGTTTTTTGGTCTCTAAAATTTATTTACTCATTCATTCATTGAAAGACAGACAGAGACATAGAGAGAAATTAGGGATGGGAGAGTGGGAGAGAAAGACAGAGACAGATCTCCCACCCCCTAGGTTTGCTCCACGAATGCCCACAACAGATGGGGTGTGGCCAAGCTAAAGCCAAGAGCCGGGAACTCAATCCAGGTCTCCCTTGTGGGTAAACTATCACTTGCTGCTTCCAAGGGTGTGCATTAACAGGAATTGGAATCAGAGGCAGAGCCAGGCACTATGTCTTAACCACTGTGCCAAATGTCCACCCCATGACTATGTTTTTGTCTGTAAGTTTTTCAATAATTTAAAATATATGAAGTACTTACTTGTGTTTTATTAAAATACATATATCCTATATAATCTCACTAATCATTAATTACTGAATTACAACATTTGCCCTCTTCCACAGAGCTCAGTAACTCTCTCTCTTCAACCAGAGAGCAGAAACGCTGGAGACTGGGATCCTATGTAAAAGGTGACACAGATATGCTTCGTGGCTCCTGCCTGGGAAGCTCATGCGTAACTCACTCCAGTGTTCTGTTTCAGATTTTAGGTTATTACAGAACAGTGATATGTGAATTTTTAGAAGTACTAAGCTATCATCATCTTCCCACACAAATAAATGACAAAGTCAAACAAAGAGCCTCTGAGTTTATTTGAGAATGATGTATCTGTAGGATTTTTGCCAAAACATTAACAATAAAAGCTTGGCAGCAACGCTGCCATTAGCTGAGACAATAGCAGGTATTGACGTTCACAGAGAATTGTTGGCTTTAGTGTATTTCCAGTCTCTTGCAGGCTTCATTTTTCACAGTTACTTTGCATGTCTGCTGAACTACAGGCCTAAGAGAATTAGCCAACATTTTCTCAAGGAAGTCACTCTTTGATAATCAGGATTCAGAAGGTGACAACCGCAACAGAACTTGAATCTATCCTTAAAAGGTTATCTCTATCTAAGGTAGCAAACTTGTTTCTTAAAACAATAACCACACAAAATGTATAATACAAGAGTGAATTTTAATGTAAACTATGGATTCTTGGTGCTAACATGTCAGGGTAGATTTATCAGCTGCAACAAATGTACATTCTGGTGGGGGATGCTGATAATGAGGGTGGCTGTGCCTGTGCGGAGGCACAGAGTACACGTGCTCAGTTTTGCTGTGAATCTAAAACTGTACTGCAAAATAAAGCTTCTTTAAACCAATGCTCCTTAAAACCTCTTTTATTCACAGTATGTCTAAACCCTGCAATCTGTACTTACTATGGTTTTAAGGAAGATGACCATCATGAATTACGCTAAGGGGCTGAAACATGCTTAGATAGGCCTTTTTATTAACCTGGTGTTAGATATTGTTTCGTACCACTGGAAGAGAATACACAAGGGATATTCAAACAGTTTATGCAAAATGTGTATTATGAAGATAATATACATGGATCTCAAAAAAAAATCTCTGCACCAAAATAAACATACCTTTCTATTTAATTTTTCCATGAACCTGAACTACTTTCATATAACTAATAAGAGCCAGTTACAATCACTGTTGTTGTACTGCTGCAAGTAAAGAATAAAAAAGAGGCAAGTATTTGGCACAGTAGTTAAGGTGCTGCTTAGGATATCCGCATCTTGTACTGGAGTACCTGAGTTCGAGACCCAGCTCTGCTTCCAATTCCAGCTTCCTGGGAGGCAGCAGTGATTACCCAAGTCCTGGGGTCCCTGCCACCCACATAGGAGACCTGGATCAGATTCTGGCTTTGGCCTGGCCCAGCTCCAGTCATTGAGGAGATTTGGGGAGTGAATCAGTAGCTATAATATCTTTGTCTTTGTTTCTCTCTCTGATTTCAAACAAATAAAAATTCATTAATAAAAAAGTTGGATTCTGGGACTGGTGTTCTGGCATAGCAGGTTAAGCCTCTGCCTACAGTGCCAACATCTCATAATGACACCAGTTCGAGTCCCAGCTGCTCCACTTCTAATCCAGCTCCCTGCTAATGGCCTGTGAAAGCAGTGGAGGATAGCCCAAGTGCTTGGGGCCTTGCACCCATAGGAGATACCTGGAGGAAGTTCTTGGCTTCGGCCTGGCCCAGCCCTGGCTGTTGCAACTATTGGGGAGTGAACCAGCATATGGAAGATCTCTCTCTTTAACTCTGCCTTTCAAATAAATAAAATAAATCTTTAAAAATTAAAAAAAAAGTTTGGTTCTAGACCTCTGTCATGTATATACTGAGCTAATCCTCTTGGGCTTTAATTCTCCAACATAAAGGGACCATTTGGCCTGGGCTAAACTCATGGATACTGTAGAGAGGATAAATGAGAAAGTTATCAAAATGTTTAGAGCACTCAGATGTCAGTAATACTAACCATCCAGAGACTATAAATATCACATTGAGAGTGGCAAATTTGTTCAACAAATATTTCCTGAGTGTCTGCTAGGTCATTAAAGTAGATAAACTCCTGTCTCTCTGGAACCATCTATCTAGCATGGGGGCCAGGGCCATAGCGTAGTGGGTGAAGCCACTGCATGTGGTGCCGGCATCCCATGTGGGTGCCGGTCTATGTCCTGGCTGCTCCACTTCCAAACCAGCACCCTGCTAATGTGCCTGGGAAAGCAGTGGAAGATGGCCTAAGTGCTTAGGCCCTTGCACCCACCCATGTGGGAGACCTGGACAAAGCTCCTGGCTCCTGGCTTCTGGCGGTTGCAGCCATTTGAGGAGTGAACCAGTGGATCTAAGATTTCTCTCTGACTCTTCCTATCTTTCTCTGTAACTCTGCCTTTCAAATAAATAAATAAATCTTAAAATAAAAACATCAAAATGATGATTGTATACACAATGTTTTCTGCAATACAGATGGCAAGGGAAAATGTGAGGGTGATGAATCACTACTGTTAAGTCTGGCTGGTACATCTTAAGTTGGTAAAGTAGAGAAAGGAGACTTAATTAGAGACAAGGGCTATGTCACAGCAAAGTCCTGATGCCAACAAGGAAACAGAGAGGGGCTGGTGCTATGGCACAGCAGGTTAAAGCCCCGGCTTGCAGCACCAGCATCCCATATAGGTGTTGGTTCGAGTCCCGGCTGCTCCACTTCCAATCCATCTCCCTGCTAATGTTCCTGGGAAAGCAGTGAAGGATGGCCCAAGTGCTTAGGCCCCTGTACCCACATGGGAGCCTGGAAGAAGCTCCTGGCTCCTGGCTTCGGATCACTCAGCTCTGGCTATTGCGGCCATTTGGGGAGTGAACCAGAAGATGCAAGACCTCTGTCTCTGTCTCTACCTCTCTCTGTAACCTTGTCTTTCAAGTAAATAAATCTTTAACCAAAAAAAAAAAAAAAAAAAAGAAGAAGAAGAAGAAGGAAACAGAGGTGGCCCAAACTCAGTTACAGGTGTGGTGCCAGTCATCTGGTGGCGTCTGGAAGTGGCACCCAATCCACAAAACAACATGGAACCACTACAGACTAGGGGATTGATTTTGAAAATTCAGGAAGCACTGGAAGTAGCAGAGAGATGGACTCTACCTTGTCACATGGCAGAATTCTACTGCAATCCTCTCAGTCATGTACCACTCACGTGGAAACATACGGCCATATTTCTCCTCATAGTCCACAAGCTGGCGTTTTATCCAGGCATAACGTCTGTCAATTTTGTCCAGCCAGGCAACCTTATGAAAGTGAGGAATAAAAATCATCCCAGTGCTTAGAAGTGGTATTGACAGTTTACAAAAATAAGAGAAATACAGAAATAAGAAAAAGACAACCAATCTCTGTATTTCCCATAGTAGTAAAGAATCCAGAATACTTTTTTCATGTGATCCACAGGTTCTTAACCTGAGGTCCACAGTTGGGCTTCAGGGGTCTACAAATTTCCTAAAACTGTATGTAAAGTTTTATGCATAAGTGCTTTTTTTCTGGGGAAAAGATCCATAGATTTCATTAATTTTTCCAGAGACTGAATGACTTCAAAATGGTTAAGAACCACAGAGCTGTAAAGTCTACCACCAGGATTCATGGTTCAACAAGCAACACTATAAGATAGTATTCTAACGACATATAAATCAGTAGGCCTGACAGCCTTCATTTTTCAATAAAACGCAAATGTTACATCTGATCTCATTTGATCAATACTTACATCTTGATTTTCTTGAAAAAGCACTAGATATTCTGACAGGTGCTGTTTAATAAACTTTTTGATGATTTCCTGCTTGACTCTGGGGTCCAAAATATTAGCAACCAGACACGCATCTCGTAGGACATTGCTGGGTCCTCCTGGCCTCTAGGAAACAAACGACATGCACCAGTTCAGAAGCCAGAGGCAGTCTTCAAATCTCACGGTCTCTGACAGCTGCTGCAGCCTGTTTCTCACTGTTATCATTATCCCCACTCCCTTGACACTCATTCTCCCTACTGTGGATGCATATTTTAGTTGCTTGTTCCTTGATGAAAGCATCATTAAGCTAGTCTCGCAGTAGCCATCAGAAAAACCACCCTGTGAATCAGCAATGAGACATTTCGGAAAACAAGGCCAGCAAAGACCGTAGGGAATTTTACTTTCTGAATGCCAAATGGAAAAGATTTAAAAAAGTCAGAAAGACACTAGCATCTGATGTCCAAGACTCTGTCAGAGAGGCCTAAAAGTCAGAGCGACACTAGCCTTACTCAACGCGTGGCACTTCCCTGACTCCCCACTCTGGGACGCCTACTCTTATAGTGCTGTATTTGTGCCAAATATTGTCGGAGCCAGACAGGCAGCCAAAAGCAACATACTGTGATATTGGCCCCTTGACCTGCAAAGAATAGTGGAAGGACACTGACTCGCCACCAAGGGAAGACCTTCGTTATTATAGAAACTATTTCAATCTAGCTGAACCTTTCTTGATAGGAAACCACTGGATGAGTGTGGCTGGCTGAGGGGACTATAGGAAAAAGAACACTTGGAATCTACTCTTGGCTTGGTTAGGAAGCCACGTATCACTGGTGCAGTTATTCAACCTCATCTGAAAAATAATGGACTTTAGGTAAATGAATAAGGTAATTCTAAATCTTTTTTTGTTTTTGGTCAATTTTGTCCAATCCTATGCATCTCAGTGGTATTTAAGTGTTTCCCTAAGACCTAAAAGTGTTGCCTGAGAACTAAACTGTTAGAATACTGATTTGCTCCACACTGGATGGTTGTCACATCATCCCCAACACACTAACTACTCAACCCTTGCTTTTGGATGAGAGTGTTTCATTTGACAAAGAAGTCAGAGAGGTCAAAACTTTTTTGTTCATGGATTTTTTTCACATATAAAAACATGATTAAGTTATCTTGGATACTTTAAAAAATATCTTGATTCCATTTGTAAAATAGGAATAATAACACAAGGCCTTTAAGAGAAATCAATACCTCTGACAAGGAAAAAGAAACATCGGCACTGTGGTATAGCAGGTTAAGTCACCACCTGCAGTGCCGGCATCCCATATGGGCGCCAGTTCAAGTCCCAGCTGCTCCACTTCCAATCCAGCTCTCTGCTATGGCCTGGGAAAGCAGTAAAAGATGGCCCAAGTCCTTGGGCCCCTGCACCCATGTAGGAGACCAGGAAGAAGCTCCTGGCTCCTGGCTTCAGATTGGCGCAGCTCCGGCAGTTGCAGCCATCTGGGGAATGAACCAGCAGATAGAAGACCTCTCTCTCTCTCTCTCTCTCTCTGTGCCTCTCCTTCTCTGTGTGTAACTCTGACTTTCAAAGTAAATAAATAAATCTTTGTAAAAAACAAAACTGTTTAAAATAACAACAAGTCACAGAGCCAGAGAGAAGACAGATGAATCGTAAAGAAAACCCTTTAATTTCATCCGCCTGGTGGGACCTGGGAAAAAAGACAGAAAGCAGTTCATGGTTGGTTCCTTCTACGTAATTAAGACTAGCCTCACTCACGTCCTTCTGAACTGGCTCGAGCCTGAGATCAGACAGTGGCGCTCACAGTCAGAGACTGTCCCCACAGTCCCTTTCGACTGCTCTGCCCTGCATGTTCCTCAAGTAGCACAACAGGAATAATGGCTTGTCAACATCTGCCACCTGCCTGCAGTTATATCAGAGAACTAAGGAAGATGACGTCTCCAAGAACAGTACTTTACAAATAAATACCTGATTACCTGCAGATAGCCACAAAACGACATGAAAGTCTGGAGCAGTTTTCCTAAATAAAGCTGGGGCGGCCACTCCCCCCTACTTCCTAAGTTTCCTTTATGGAGCACAAAGAACAAATGCTTAAGATATTTCCAGTTATTGAATTATAAAGTAGATCCAGGAAATGTCCCTTGGCCCAGGAGTGAAACCATACCCCCCTCCCCCCACCCAGTGCCGCAGGGAGGGCTGACAGCCTGTGTGTGCTTCGGTTCATTTCTGCCCTTAACAATTCTTTCTCTTGAAATAGCTCAAATAATACAGAAAAAAGATTCTGAGGATTTTCCCCTCTTGGACACATGCAAAGCATTAGGATGACATCTGCTACAATTTGAAGGAGAGAGCTAACAGCAGTTAACTAAGTCCAGCTAAGTGCAGGAAAGCTTGTTATATGAGAAGAGTAACCAATAGCTCACACACAGAATACTGTGGGCTTCGCAGACACAACACAAACAGCTCTGCTACCAGTGAGAGCTAAAGGGCAGTCATTCCAAAGAACAGGATTATGTTCATTAGAAGTGAGTCTCATGGTGTCACCCTGAGAATTACATAAGTCTGCGGATACTCCTCCCCGTTGTCTTTTCACCAAACCAAAACCCATAAATTATGTAACAATCCTAAAAAACACTGTGGCTTGAAGATTTTTTTTTTCAAACACAGCCATGAGGGAAAAAAAAAAAAAAGAAATGTTTAGGGCAGACAATATACAAAGTTTGACATAGACTAAATGAAACCAAAATAAATCCTTAATTTTTAAGGCTGGGAGAACATCACTCTGGAAATATTTAAAAATCAAGGTCAGTCTCATTACTCTCAATTTTCAGCAAACATATATTTGCTGCCAGCGACTACTTTTGGAATGATAAATGAATGGCAACTATAATGAACATGAATTAGGTAGGCAAGATTAGTAATAATACCTAAAGACTGAGGGAAAGTGCAAAATAGTACCTTGGTACCCTGGGAAGGAAATGCTTCTTCAAAATCTGCCAGGATTTGCTGTCCTAACTCAGTCTGCGCAGCTTTCACTCTGTGATAAGAAGAGCACACATCAGCATCGGCACCAAACACACAATCCATAAGGAGTAAAACTGTGGAAGTCTTCAGACAGCATCCAGGCGGGCTGCAGGAGAGTGTTTGGCTGGATGAGCGTGGCCACGCTCTAGTTGGCCGCAGGTTTACAGGATCGGGACCCAGCACCTGATGGAATTTTTGTATGTCCAGAGTTGTTCAAGGCCACCCTCCACCTGCTGTGAGGTAATCTGTGTTAGCCTTCACAACATTTCATAGAAGGGTAGTTATGCTATGGGAGAATGTCATATACATAATGACACCCAAATCAAATATAAGCCCATTTTGGATTGCTGGTATAACTGTTCTCTGGCTCCTTGGAGAATGGGATGAGGGGAAGAAGGCTCCAAACTGTTTCGGGGTGTTTTTGTTTTGCTTTGTTTTAAACTTAGAGACCAAAAGGATCAACATTTTTAAACACATGAACAGAACGAATGTTTTCTAAAGTAAAAAGAAAAAGAGCTCAATTATAAGATGAACTGCTAACTAACAGCGAAGGCCACTGCATCATTATCAATGCTCAGCAGACTGTGAAGATGAAGACTGAACCGCAAGGCACCCAGTCAAAGAGAGGAGGTCAGTACTTAACAGCGGTTTGCATGTGTACCAGGAGTTCAAGATGTTAACTGTCTTGAATCAAACAGAAGATGGGAAAAGTGCTAGGATGAGGAAGGAACGGTCTGCCCGTCAGCACCCCCTGCACGTGGTCGCACCCTCCCCGTCCTGCACTAGCTGCCTTATGCTGGTGGACGCCTCGTGCCAGCAGACTCCCAGAGCCGGAGGGAAACTAGGCTCTAGGGGTGTTGCTGAAGTGCCTGAGCCCGAGACAAATACTTCAGCTCTGTGAAAGCAGCATAAAACAGCATGCTTCCTTTCTTGGTCTCCACCCTGCTACTTTGGAATTAACTTTATGAAGTTTCTAGAAATAGTGAACAGCTCAAAACCACAATTTCTTTGGCTACGAAGGAGTACCTGGCAACTTGCTGAGTTTTTTTTTTTTTTTTTTTTTTTAATGATGGGATAGGCACAACTCACAACAGTCTGTTTTTTCTGTGGCATAGTTATAATTATGCCTTATTCCAAATACTTTCCAGGGTTTTTCCACTATCTTTAAAACTTTTCAGACTTTTCAAACTTTCAAACTTTTCTCATAGGTGTGCTTGCAACCTTTTAAAGTCAGTTTTCAAAGTTTTCTCAGCCAGAAGTGGCTGAGATAAGGCTATTACTGGAATAGCCTCGCCTCCCAGATCAGAATCAGGGCCATCATCTAAAGTTGCCCAACAGACAATGGGAAACATCCCTAGAGCGTGAACTCAGATAGGAGAGAAAGGAACATTCACAAAACTGCACCTCAGAGCATCTTGTGACTCCCACAGCATGGGCCAACAGATGGCCTCCTTCGGTGCCAGGTCACAAGACACAGCTTCCCGCAGTCATCCCTCTGTTCCTTCCCTCCCCTTGGAAGCACAGACACAGCACGAGTTCCCTTCTCAACCAGGACAATCTCTGGAGGGGAAGGCTTACCCCTGGCCAGAAGCACGTGGGGCCGTACTCCCAGGGCTCCTGATCACCTCCATGATAATCACAACAGACCCAGCAACGTCTCTTCACGCCCACTACCCCGACATTTCCTCACCCACATTCTTTCTGACTCTGAGACTAAGGTGGCTGAAAAGGCAACAGGCGTCCGTCACAGGGTTTTGGCACTACCAGAGCACAGAAGTGAACTGACAGACAATGATTTGTAGACCTCCTTGCCATGATCTGCAGTCTGTTTTTAAAGTCACTTCCGGGCACAGGCGAGACTTGAGCTGTGTGTGCCCCACAACTAAGAACACTTGTGAAAAACAGGGTAGGGCTAGAAGCCTGTATTAGAGGACTTCCAGTGTCCTCTTCAGCAGTGACTGATCTACAACTGTCCTCTTTCGGCACTAGCTGGCAACAGCATCCATCTCTGCAGGTGGCTACAAATTGTATGTTAATTAGGGTAGGAAATGAAGAATAAGCTTCTGCATTTAAACACTTCCAAAAGAAGTTTGTAAAGTGTGCGTCAGTGCCTTGGGTGAAAGAGCATTCCCTTACAGAAATTACTGATGGGTATCAACAAACCCAAATGTGAACCCATGCATCGTGGAGGTGAGAGGTGAATCAGTCTTTACAGCCAGTTGCCTCAACAGGATCCTAGAAGGAAATCAACATGTAGATTAGTTCTTTGACCTCACTTCTTAAATTCTTTCCTCTTCTAACAATGGAAGGTAAGTTCCTACTGTGAAATGATGGATCAAGTGAGAAAGTCAGCATAGCAAACATGAGTTAACCACCGGGGGCCAGCACCGTGGAATAGTGGGTAAAGCCGTTGCTTGCCGTGCTGGCATCCCACATGGGTGCTGGTTCCAGTCCTGGCTGCTCCACTTCCAATCCAGCTCTCTGCTGTGGCCTAGGAATGCAGTGGAAGATGGCTTTGGATAGGCGCAGCTCTGGCCATTGTAGCCATTTGGGGAGCGAACCAGCGGATGGAAAACTTCTCTCTCTCTCTCTGCCTCTGTCTCTCTGTAACTCTGCTTCTCAGATAAATAAACAAATCTTTAAAAAAATTAATCACCATTTTCCTATTAATTTTTTTAAAGATTTATTTATTTATTTATCTGAAAGGCAGAGTTACAGATACAGAGAGGGAGAAACACAGAGAAAGGTCTTCCGTCCGCTGGTTCACTCTCCAAATGACTGCAATGGCTGGAGCTAAGCTGATCTGAAGCCAGGAGCCAGGAGCTTCTTCCAGGTCTCCCATGCAGGTGCAGAGGCCCAAACACTGGGCCATCTTCCACTGCTTTTCCAGGCCATAAGCAGAGAGCTGGGATAGGAGCAGCGGGGACACGAAATGGCACCCATATGGGATGCCAGTACTGTAGGCAGAGGTTTAGCCCCTATGCCATGGAGCTAGCTCCCCTACTCATTCTTAAGAAAATCAACCAGGTTGGTGCCACGGCTCACTAGGCTAATCCTCCACCTGCGGCACTGGCACCCCGGGTTCTAGTCCCAGTCGGGGCGCCGGATTCTGTCCCGGTTGCTCCTCTTCCAGTCCAGCTCTCTGCTGTGGCCTGGGAAGGCAGTGGAGGATGGCCCAAGTGCTTGCGCCCTGCACCCTCATGACCGGGAGGAAGCACCTGGCTTCTGGCTTTGGATCAGCGCAGTGCGCTGGCCATAGCAACCATTTTGGGGGTGAACCAATGGAAGGAAGACCTTTCTCTCTGTCTTTCTCTCTCACCTCTCACTGCCTAACTCTGCCTGTCAAAAAAAAAAAAAAAAAAAAGAAAAGAAAAAGAAAAGAAAAGAAAAGAAAATCACCTACAACTAATGGAGAATATTGTAACTATAAATCCCTCCTGGCACCCAACTGAGCTCCACCTGTTATGCAGCGACAACCCAATGTTGGTTACTCTTAGGAAATGAAAACCAAGTGTCTCTGGCATCCTCCATGTCATGTAGCCTTGGGGTGTCCAAAGGTGCCCTTTCTCAGATATGTTATCAGTCTTTATAAGGGGTGGTAGCAGAGGAACAACAAATTATGAATATTATTCAAACATCTGTGGATAAAGTATCTGATACTTTTGTTGCCCTGTTGATAGTCCCAAAGAAACAGTTCTCAAATAAATATGTTCATCTCCCAAATTACCCAGTCTGTACTGAACAGAAGGGTTAATTAGTCAGATGCTGCATTTCCAAGCACACAAACTCTGTAAAGAATCTCCACCTAGAATCACAGAGTGACAGCAGGGTGGGGGTGTGGGGTCTTCTGAGATCATCAAGGACCATCTTCACACTTGGGAAACTGAGAAGGAGGCCCAGACAGGAAGTGTCACAGTTACACAGCTACTCGGGACTGATCATTGCCTAGTTCAGTTCTCTTGTCATTCTGCCATGAGACCGTCCAACCTGCCAAGACTCTCTCACATAGAAGGGATCTTCAAGAACGTTATGGAAAATGCACATTATGAAAAATCTGTGCATGGATTTCAAATTTTTATTGCTTGAAAACAAACTTATCTTTTAATCCCATTTCCCATAAAATTCTGAAGTGCCCCTGTGTAAAAGGCTGGAAATAGCTCTGAAAAATATATTTATAGTTCAAGGGTTTCATGGTTTTCAAAAAATGTAAGAATCTTCCATGCTTTCTCAGGAAATGTTAACTGGCGACTAGAAACCTCTGTGTTCATGAATATGCTTAAGTCAGAAGGATTTGACATGTAAAGATATTAAAGAGAAAAAAATTTTTCCTTCAATGCTACATTAAACACTGACGCATTTGCCAAAAGGGTAGTTGGAAGAAACCTCTATATTCAAACCAAGGCTCATGGACTTTGTATTTCAAATGTACAGGCAAAGACTTCAGAACAGAGCCTCTCAAATGACTTCTAAAATTTATAGACAGCAAGATAATAAATTAGAGAAACTGAAAAAGTACATAGGGTGTAACTCTCCTGCTTTCTCTTCTCCCTCTCATCAAACAGCTATTTCTATCATTTCCAGATGGCTCTGCCATTGCTACATAAACATAAAGGTGGAAAATTCTCCAAAAATGATGCTAAAAATAAGCAGTTCTTAAAGTTTCAGGGCTTCTTTAAAAACAATTGTAGTCAAGTACTGAAACCAAGAAGCTTGTGTTCTAGTTAGTGTTTAATAGCACAAATTCTGTATTAACCTACACACAATTATTGTAAATACAGGCCATGACATGAACTAATGGAAAGCAAATCCTCCCATATTTGTAGCAACCCTATATGATAATGAATGTTTGGAGCACTAACATACAATGATAGAACACTGTATGTTTTCTTTTTAAATTTTATTTATTTATTTGAGAGGCATAGAAAAGCAAAAAAAAAAAAAAAAAACAAAAAAAAAAAAAAACAAAAACAAAACTCCAATCTGCTAGATTATTCTCCAGATGCCTAAAATGCC